GGGGGGGGGGGGGGGGGGGGGGGGGGGTTCCGGCCTTGTGGTGCTACAAGAATACAGATATATCAATGTTCTGAGTGCACCTGTGCTAATTTGCTGTTTGAGTATCCAACTAAACTCGTATACTTCCTTTTCCCAGAAACAACATTCATGTCTTCTGTGTCGACAAATCCAACATGATGCATCTACAAGGAAAATAAATATAAAAACATATGGATACTGCTCCCAGGCTAACAAGTGCAATAAGAAAATAAATTAGTAAATAACAGATGTACAAGGATGACATGAAAAGAGTAATTAGCAAAAAGCAGATTCATAAGCTATCATTTTGATTTTTGACTACTTCAATGACTCAACTCAACATACTTGTAATTTTCATTTTCAGCAATAGAATGCTGGATAGTTATCTGGGCATGTACCAAAGGATTGTAACCATCAGAGCCAGTCGAAATCCGTCTCACAAGTTTCACGGTCATCATCTGACACCTACTAATCTCAGCAGCAACCTGGAGATTCTGCTGAACGATACATAGCTTGATTCACCCCATTTTTATAAGAACTGTGGCTATTGTGGTCATTTTTCCAGCATTTCTGAAGCTGTTTGACTGGATTTTTGAAATTTTGAAGTATTTACGTTGGAAAATTGGCCAAACATGGAGTATGGTTTTTTTGCTGCTCAATTTGATTTGATCCGTCAATATAGGATGCAACTAGGGCTAACAATCATTGCCCATTCAATTTTATTGGGTCGGGTTCGATTTTGCAGGTTTGTTTCTCTGACTCGAGGCTCAACAGACTAGTTTCTTGAGGTTTGGCTACTGTTGAGTCTGTAGATTGGTTATTTTGAATTGTTGCTTCCTATGGCTAGTTGCCACCTTCATGCTATTCCTATTGTCCGGGTATGTCAGACAATAGTACGACTTCTGCCCATACAGAAAAAAGTGGATTAACCCCCTTTGGGACCTTGCCAACAACCCCTCTTTTCGAATTGTCCAAAGAAGTTGGCTGGAAGCAGTTAGTTGGCATGGTCACAGGATCCTTTGTTATCAGTCCAAGCTATTTCTTTGGATGTGTATTTGAAAGGGGAGATGAAGACACCCAGTGAGTCGCGCTCTCTACCTAAGCAGCAGACATCTGCAAATACCCAAATTATGTCTTGTTGACTTAATTTAATGCAACTTTTTTATCAATCGCAGTTTTCTGTTGCTCGATACAGCTCACAAGATTTGCACATGTGGCTTGTAAATATCTTCAAAGTGGCAACGAGGCCAAAGCATAGGATGTTTGAAAGAAATTTCATTAGACTAACCAAAAAGATAAGCCCCTTGTAGTTTATTTTGCAAAGTTAACAACCTAATGGAAGAAGTTGGACTACTACAAGAGTTTTTAGGTAGTGTGCTAGTGATGCAACAAAGTTTCAGCATATGGTGGAGAAGGAACGCGCTCATAACTTTTCTTGCCGGCCTTGACATTTTAGTATTATTAGGTTCAACTTCAGATTTTCAACTATAGTCTATTTCCCATGTTGCAATAGGCTTAATCAGAGGAGAGCTGGAGGAGGGTTACGGTTCACATTCCCCTTCCGCAGCAATCTGCTTTATATTTTTGAAGGTGGTCTCAAATTAGCTCAATCCAAGTCTGCTTTATATTTTTGTTGGGATTTGAGTGGATGTCCCACTCGTGCAGGGGCGGAGCTACATGTTAAGGACTGGGGGCAGTTGCCCCCAGTGAATTTTGAGCAAAAGTCCATATATTGTTATAGGTTCAAAACTTTAAAGAATGTTGCCCCTAATAAATTCAAAAGTTTATATGTTGCCCCCATAAATTCTTAAAATTTATATAGTGCCCTAGTTGGTTTTATTTTTGGTAGGTCAGTGGTCCACTCACTCCCTTAATTAATCTACGAGGACATATATTTCAATTGAGTAAAATAAATGTAAAATACCCTTACGCATACATATTTACCAAAGACAATATCGTCTAGATTGATATTGATTTCTTGATTTTCACGTAATAGTTAAATTTTAGATCTTAATATTTTTTTTTAATTTTAGCTTAAGAATTCTTCATTTGAAAATAACCCTCAATTCAATCATCTTTAACAGATGTTCAAAAAGATTTTTTTTTTAATACCATTTGGTTAAATTTTTTGCTCATATTTTTGCCCCCACTAATATGGATATCTGGCTCCGCCCCTGCACTCGTGGGTGTGGCGGTGGTTGAGGTNAAAGGATATACGTAGTTAGGTACAATGTACTTGCATCGGTGTACCATATCTACATATATAGACAAAAAAGTTATATCAGTGCTTTTTGTCTGACAATCTGGTAATTGATGACAATGTATTCAAACCCCATTTGTNGTCTAGATTGATATTGATTTCTTGATTTTCACGTAATAGTTAAATTTTAGATCTTAATATTTTTTTTTAATTTTAGCTTAAGAATTCTTCATTTGAAAATAACCCTCAATTCAATCATCTTTAACAGATGTTCAAAAAGATTTTTTTTTTAATACCATTTGGTTAAATTTTTTGCTCATATTTTTGCCCCCACTAATATGGATATCTGGCTCCGCCCCTGCACTCGTGGGTGTGGCGGTGGTTGAGGTTGTTGTATGGTCCCACACTCATAAAAAAAAGCAAGCTTCAGGTGTTTTTCTTTGAAGTACAGCATTAGTATTTATCCTACCATTAAAGACACTTTGGCCTATCAAATCTTCAATGATGGATCAAAGGAGGGAAGTGAAGAATCATCAATCAACCACTCAAAAGAAGAATTTATACGAGAAAAGAACCATTGTATGACAATTCCAACATCTTTTCTCCGACGAGTCTAGGTCAAGGTTGTTAGAATACTCTAGTACATTAGAAGTAAGAGTAGATTAATCTTTTATGTTACTATGTTTTGCCCTAGTATATAAGACTGTTATTGTGTAGTTTTCTGTTTTAAGGTTTTGTAATACAAACTTGGTTTAGAGAATCTCTTTCTCTCTTCTTTCCTCTTTCTTTGATAAATATTAACATGGGTTTGGATCCAAAATACATCCAAACATCACAACATTACACCGGTAAAAATAGCAGGCGAAAACCAGGGCACTAGGGCTGATGTCAGCAAGTTGCGATGATGCACTACCAGACTCGAATTTTCATGAGCAATCTCATCGTATAGTTAGTTTTTAATTTCATGGCCGTTGGATAGGGTTTTCCAAAATATTTTTTTAGATTTTTGGACCTATTTTTTCGATCTGAAACTCATTTTGTCAAATTTGTTGCTTCAAATCAACTCTGAGGGGTGCGACTAGAACTATTTGGAGTCTGGTTGGTGGATTTGAAGGCAGTAGGTTGGTTTTTTTGGTGGATTTGAAGGCAGACTGGAAGTTCGGCTAACTATTCTTGCAGTGAACAGTAGCCAAAGTCTTCTTCCTCTTTCTTTTCCGGTCTCCTTTGGCCAAAACTCTTCTTCCTTTTTCTTTCCTGGTCTTCTGTGGTGTAATCAAGCAATATTGATTGTGGGTTTTTGGTTTGCAATACTCAGGCTTCGGATTTGCTGGTTTGGACTTTACTGTTGGACTGTTGGTATTCAATCTGGTTGTTGAGCCTGGAATTTTGATTAATCTATCTGCTGGTTTTGAATTTGCTATTGGCTTGTTGGTACTCAATCTGGTTTGTTGAGCTTGGGATTTCGATTTGGTTTGTTTAGCTTCTTTCTTTGGGAATATGGTAGGCGGTAATTCTGATTCTCTTCAGGCCATTAGTGTAAGGCTGAATGGGGACAACTATACCTATTGGGCATATGTTATGAATAATTTTCTGATGGGAAAAGAAATGTGGAGTTATGTTAATGGAGTCGTGCAAGCTCCAACAGATACTGAGGCAGAAAAGTGGATTTGAAGAACAGTTGGGACACCAACAATGATATGTAAAAGGGTCCCATAAGCCAGAACCACAAGACAAAAGAATCCAACACCTAACCACATAAATAAAGCCATGAAGCACCTATCAGCCATGAGATCCTCTCTAAATCCAAGTACACTACCACAATAAGCTACAAAATGAATGATTGATGTTGCACCCAACGATCCCAGTTCTTAGTAATTCCATCGACAGACTGAATCCTGATTTCCATGCCCTCAAATATCTCATGTTCCTTTTCACTATAAACCAGAAAGCACAAAGGCACGCTAGTCACAGTATGCATCCCTTGCCTTCCATTCCAAGTATCTGATTCCAAACATCTATAGTACTAAAGGAGGCATAGGCCAACCCATAATGAAATTTTTCAATAACGTTTATGATAGGTTGGACAGGAAAAAGGCAATGCAGAGCAAGTGAAGGTACTGCGACCTGAAGCGCATACTGAGCAATATCAGAAATTGTCCATGTTCCAGAAATAAGGTTCTCAACTGTCAGTTAAAATCGTCTTAATACAATGACCACGGCAAACATGGCGACATTGGATGAAACAAGGGACAATGATATTAGATGACAATGCACTCCTGCCATGATAAACAAAGGCCGTGAAAAAAATTCTTAATCTCCACATTCTCGTATCTCCATCAGTTGGTCCCAGTCCCAAACATTATAAATCTTCCAACATATTCTCCTATAACTTCAACCCTTGGGCTAGTAAATGTCTCAAAATGTAGATGACCAATTAAGCTAATACAATGAACCTGCTATGAAAACGATACACCTGCTCTACTGACCTGTGGCTCAACCATTTGTAGAGAAGAAAGAAGTCGCAACACACATTGGTCTAAAAAAATATGCTGCTAACCAAGGTTAACTTCGCATGTCATGTTCTGCAAGTACGATAACCATAAACCAACTTCAAAGAGATTTCTTTAAAAGTTTTGTATTCAGGAGTTTTCATAGAAGCTAATAAAAGCTTAGAACAACAATAATTGTATCCTTCCCCTTCAGAAGATTATGGCCAACTAAGTAAATCACATACATGATCCTCTTCTTCATCATTTTTCCTGGTCAAGTCTAGGTGGCTTATCCTCAACCAATAGGCCCACTGAAGCACACCATTAAGAAGAAAACAATATACATAAAAGTACAAGGTAAAAATTTCCAGCTGGGACTCATTAATACTCACTTTATATAATTTAGTTTCCTCCAACATAAATTATTAAAAAAGTATGTAAACATTAAGACTCTTACACAACGAATTCTTGCAACTATATTGAACCCAAACAGTTCTGGAAGTATTAAATAAAACAAGTTAACTGTGTTCCTGCTCCAGCACAGACACTCAACAATGTATGAAGGACACTAGTGTAAAGAGAGATTGTAACCCACATCAAAATATTAAGGTCACCCCAGATTTGTATGATTAATGAGCCTCTCTACCAATAGCCAATTAGTTTTGAGTTGAATGCTCGAACAATCGGACCTAAATTCCATGCCTCTGACTAAGTTTCAAGCACATACTAATTAATTTGTTCAACAAATCCCATACATTTACTAGGAAACAAAAACGCGGGGGAATGGGGTGAAGCGTAGTAAAAGGAAGTCACTGATAGAAAAGCATCAGAACTTCCTACATTCAACAAACTTCTCTTTTCAGAACTTCCTAGATTATTAAAAAATTATGTAAAGAGTCTTGTGCAACGAATTTTTGCAACTATATTGAAGCCAAACAATTCTTAAAGTAGCAAATAAAAGAAGTTAACTGTATTCCTGCTCAAACACAGCCACTAAAAAATGTATGAAGTACACTATTGCAAAAAGAGATTGTATCCCACATCGAAAGATCAGTGTCACCCCAGATTTATATGGTTAATGAATCTCTCCACCAATTTCCGGTTAGTTTTGGGTTGAAAGCTCTAACAATTGGACCTCAATTCCATGCCTTTGACTAAGGTTCAAGCATATACTAATTAATGTGTTCAACAAATCCCATACATTTACTAGGAAACAAAAACGCGGAGGAATGGGATGAAGCATGTATAGCTAGTAAAAGGAGGTCCCTGAAAGAAAAGCATCAGAGCTTCCTACATTCAACACGTGTGCATAAATAGAAATATGCACTAATATGCTAACCAAAGGCCTTACAATGGAATTCACATTGATAATTCGGCTGGGAGAGCCTCTAATAAGGGATGGCAAAAGCAGCACTGAAAGCAACGCGGGAGCTAGATGATTCACTTGCATGTGTTCTTCATACCCATCCTTTGAAAACTTTTGTGGTTCTAAATACATTTAAAACAAAAGGTATCAATTTTAATGGTAGGGAAAGAAGTAAGAGGAACTAAAAGGTTTATGCAGCTTGTTTATATCAAAATCAAAAACAATAAAACAAACATAAGGAAGTCAAACAGTCTAGTAAATATGCTTTTATAAGACAAATAATTTTAACAGGAAAAAAAATTATCGCAACAAGAAAAATTTTGATTTAGAGTATCAATTCACCAACTAATCTACACCATGGTCCAGTTGGTGCAGTGGATATTATCTAAGCCCATTTCCCCGTGTATGTCTGAACTGTTAGGATGTGAGATAGAAACTCAAGAAAGAGATGGTGGAATAGAACTAAGAAGCAACCATAAAGCAAGAAGGCACAAAGTAAAAATTTAGTGCAATATTATTTAAATAAGGTGAAAACCACAATTTGAAAAAAAAATGGTCTTGATCCCTGAATCAGTCAGGTTTTTTATTCCACAAACAATAAAACAAGATACTGCACACGCCTCAAGGAGAACAAAAATTTGGCTTTATGAGAAACCACCATGCAAGGATAACGTCCTTAAAAATAGACCAAGTATCAGTCAAACAACAAAAAATCACTTTATCTTGGCTTTATGTCAAGTTACACTAACTATTAAAGTGAACTCCCAACATGAGGGCATCCTAACTGTACAATGGTCTTCAGACCACATTAACAAGCCATGGAACACTTAATATAACAAATCCTATTGCTGAAGGGCCACAACCCATGATCACAAGACTAATCCAATGAATTGGATGATTACAAACATGTTTCTTCGAAGGTCGCAGTATCAACTATTGACTCAAAAAACACTAAAACACCTTGTGGCGGTATGGCATCAGATGCTACACATAGAATGCTGCATAGAAGAAGTTGAATATCATAAGAAATTCAAGTCATATCGCAACGTCAAGAAATAATGTTGGCCAATTCGATGACGGTGACATAGACAACTCAGGTTTGAATCAGAAACATCTCATATGACTCGACCAGTCCTGTGAGATTTTTGGTTTACATGGAACGTAGAACAACCTTGGATTTGAAGCTGCTGGTTTGGCTACAACTTTGCTGAGTCATATTGGCAGCCCCTGATACTTGAAACCATGTTCTTTAGTCTTGTTGGAAGAGGCAAGGCGGGGACAAAAAAATGGCAAGGCTTATAGCCCTCTCCTTTTTGTCCCTTCAAGATATAGTCTCCCAATCATCTATGATGATTTTTAACTGCTACTTCTTGTTTTCATAAAAGAATAATTTTATTTGAGGAGAAAGTTGAGAACAAAATACAACGTTGAAGACAAGATATCCTCGACGAAAAACACAAAAATAGATCAAAAAAGAAAAAAACACTAAAAGAAATGATACTAAAGGAGAACTGCCTTCCAACTCTGTTGTAAATCTGACAAAGGCAACCATTTGAAAATTCTAGTTGCTTTTTAGTCCAAAATGTAGCTATGAACATAACTCTTTCCCACATTAGTTCAAAATAAAGATAATAATTATTGAAGATTGTTACATTCCGCTTTATCTAATGACACCAAAGAAGTGTCTTTGATAGAGCACAATAGAAAAACATAATTCATGTAGCTGACCCTAAATAGTTGTCTTAAAATTTTTATTTTATATTATTAGAAGCGTAGGGTAACAATGTAATTACTCATACTGTCAGTTTATTATAAATAAGAGAGCGTAGGGCAACAATAAAATAGCTTACACACATATTATTCTCATCTTACCTCTTTACCTACTTCTCTCCTTCTTCTAACATAGTATTATAGTTTTTACTTCTTAACTTGATATCAAAGCAACAATTCTAGTTTTTTTTTTTTTTTTTTTTTTGACATCAATGAACAGTGATTGCGCGTGAACAATGCTGCCAGTGCACATTGTCCGATGAACAGTGTCACGAGTAAATAGTGCCCATTGAATAGGAACATCACGAAAAATGCTGATGAACAATAACTTGTGACCAGTACTGTCGATGAACAATAACATTAAACTCTTCCATAGTCATCCAAACTTGTTTTCTCTTCCTAAAACTCAAGTTAGGTTAGGGAATGAGTGGATGACTAGTTCTCTTCTCCCCAGAAGTGTGTAGATCAACCTTGAAAGAGCGTTGTGCACTCTAGCATGTGGTCCATTGGATGATGATGCATGCATATGCTTGGACTCACTAGACCTTTTCAAAAGTTTAGAAAACTTTAAACTTGATAGTTTAAAGCTTTGGATTAGTTGGCTAGATGCAAGAGCTTCTTGTTTAAGACATCCCTATTTTTCATACAATGTCAACTATGATGACCCTGTTCTCCACAAGTATAACACATATCATAGTTGGTTTGGATCTCCCCAATAACTTTCTTATTTGAGTGCCTATCCTTACCATTTTTAGTCGTTTCAGGACTTGTGCTTGCTTGTGGGGGTGATAGGTTGGGATTACTCTTCACAAACACAGTCTTAAAAGAAGTATTGGTGGTGTATTCATGTGTGTAGCCTAGACCACGCTTATCCCCCACACTTTTACTTATAGATAACATTCTATCAAACTTTTCATTGCTTAAGGGAAGTCTTTTAGAGAGTTCATTTGAATCATGAAGATATTTATCAAGTTTCACATATTTTAACTCAAGATTCTTCTTAAACTTTATAAGCTCGTGACATTCTCTCTCAAGAAAGCTCACTAGATCAAGGAGAGACTTCTTCTCTTCCTCTAACCCACATATTTGGGGCTTGGACTTCATCAAGTTCATGTGAAGTGCTTTTCTATCTTTTTCACTTGAGTTAACCCGATCACTCAAGGAAAGCACCTTCTTTTGTTGCTTGAGAAACTATGCATACAATTGGTCATATACATCATGTATATCTTCAAAATACTCTTCAGCCTCCACACTTGTGGAGATTTCTTCTTCCAAGTCTTCTACTCTCATAGTAGGACTTGTCTCATCTTCACTCGTTGAAGTTTCTCTAGGGGTGGAGGAGAGTGGACCTAGAAAGGCCGTGAAATTATCTTCATCATCTTGAAAAGAGAGGTCATCACTCGATGTAGACTCACTTTCACTATCGTTTCACTTGGCCTTCATAGCTCTCCTCTTTTCTTTGAGCAAATCTTTCTTAGTACATTTTGGGCATTATGAAGTTATGTGTCCAAATCTTTGACACTCAAAGCATTGGAAGCCATGACCTTTTATCTTAACCTCGTGTCAAGAGTTTCTTCCCCCTTTCTCTCTTTCCTCTTTAGGAGTAGTAGGCTTACTAGGCTTTTCTTTCAACCTTGGGGACTCTACATTACTACTCTAAGTACTTTTTGAACTTTCTTGCAATTAAGGCTAGGTCTTTATCTCCTAATCAGGGTGACTCGAATTTACCTCCCTCTTATCTCGTTGTGCTCAAAGTAATGCCCTTAGCCTTCTTTAGGGATGGAAAATTCATATCAAAAGGCAATATTAACCCAACTAGCCTTTCAACCGACGTAGACTCCATGTTGATGCTTTTTTCCAAGGACGCAGCTATTGCATGAAAACTGTTGGGTAAAAATCTCAAGATTTTTCATTTAATGGCTACGTCATCAACCTTGGTACCTAATGCAAAAGATGAAATTATAATATCACACAATTTAGCATAAAACTCGCTAAATGTTTCATCATCTTGCATTCTCGAAGTCTCGAATTGAGAGGTGTACCTTTGAAGTTTGAACATCTTCGCCATGGACATCCTTCAATGGGAAACAACCAAGATGTCCCAAACTTCTTTGGAAGTCTCGCAGTTAGCGATCCTCCATAACTTATTAGGTGTCACAGCATTGAAGATTCGCCTAAATAAGGAAGTCTCGAATTGAACGATAATGCACCATAAGGGACCAATTTAGAAAACATCTTCTAGAAAGTTCCTACTAGTCTTCCTAGGTCACTAGTTAGCCTACTTAATAAACCATACTCAAGGCCATTCACTAAGATTTAGTAAAAGTTTTTCCTAAGGTTCACCTACAACTAATCTACCAGTAATCAATTCCACAATTGGGTTTTCAAAAGGCTCATTTTTAACCTCATATCACCTTTAGTGGTTTTACTTAGGCTCACCCGTATCCTCTACAACTTCAACTCACAACCAATTTCAATCACTTAGTCTTACAAGTTCGGTTAAATCGATTCTTTTATTTTTTTTGGATACAGGATATATCGATTCTATGTGTCTAAACTAGAGCAAATAGGTTCGTTATAGCTCCATAAAAGAAGCCACCATTGCCAAGTTGTGTTCTTCATGTTTATTCAAGATAGTGGATATTGTTGATGGTCCAAGTATATCAAAATTTTCTTTAAGCTCACCCAAATCATTTCAATGTGTTTTCTTTATGTGTAGGAGGAATTGCAAATTAAATGCATCAATTAGCTCTCAAAAACTAGGTGAGATTACTAATAGAGATTGCAAACATCGGCTAGTTAAATGGTAATTGCTTCATATCCGTCAAACTTGAATTGACTCGGATGCTTCCAATGTACCGGAACTACTAAAGCCACTTGGACCAGTCAACTGTCATGCTCAAGTTTGTGATTTTTCCACATCATTTGAGAAAAGCATACTAGCCTATCCTATAGAACATGTGTCTAATCTAAATATTGACTCACTAAGACTCTAAACACTACTCCCTTTCTGCTTAAAAGTCTTCTGAAAGTTGTCAAAGTTTACCCCACATGTCCTTTGTTCATCACTTGAAATCTTCAAGGTGAGGCTAGCATCCATGCTCTTCTCAACTTTTTAGTTGATGTCTTCAGATCTTCAAGCCCATGTACAAGTCATAAAATTGTTGACCCTAAAACATAAACCTAACATCAGCCCATTCCCAATTATCCTACCAGCAACCCACAAGCCAAACACCTAGTAGTAGCTTTTCTTATCAATGCCACCCTTATGTTCCACCACTGTTTGTTATATCTTTTGCACTGATAATTCTCCATTGATTTAATTTATCAGAAATTTTCAACTTGTTCTAGAGCATACGGGAGAAATTATGAATAGGGGTGTTCAAATTTTCGAATACCTGTAAATTTCAACCCTACCCTACTCTACACAACTCTATTGATCGACTACCCAAAAGAATCAGGTTGGCTAACAGAAGATGTTTTAGTATTCCGTAAAAAATCGGATAAGAATGCAGAATACCTACAAAATTTTCGTATTCCTACCATACCCTACTCATAAATATATCTAGAAACTCTAATATTTAAATGATCCAAAAATTAATAACTACAAAATATGTGTTTACTCGATTTTCAATCTGATTGTTTTGGACGGAATTCAAATAGAAATAGTACACTTGATCGGGTAGGATATGCCAAAAAAAAATTCTTCCGCAAAATATCTGGCATGCAGATGGAATACCATAATTTCTATCCGTTGGGTAGGGTAAACACCCCTAATTATGGATTCTCAATAGATTGGGATGCAATGTGATTAACGCCAGCAGCTATAGACAAGGTTGCCTCGACGACAAGAATCAAATAAAGGGTCATAATTACACTTGTACGAAATCACAACAGATGCCCAAATCCATCGTATCAATTAGCATTTTTCAAACAAAATAAATTAACAAAAAATCGGGAACTAAGAAGAATCATTGATGCCATTAAGCATTCATTGACAAAGCAACAATACATTTACTACATGAATCAGTCCAAACTAGGTGTACATGAACAATAAGAAAATTGCAGGAGATGCCCAAATCCATTATATCAATTAACATTTTCAAACAAAATAAATTAACAAAAAATAAGGATCTGAGAAGAATCATTGATACCATTAAGCATTCATTGAAAAAGCAACAATACATTTACCACATGACTCGGTCCAAATTAGGTGTGCATGAACCAAAACAAATCGCCAGTAATCTCCGTAAAATCCATGTTAAACGTGTACAAGCATGCTCTACATTGGAAGAGTGTACCACCACAAACAAATGCATCACAAAATAAAAAAACAAAATTTAAAATCTTGATAAGAAAACATAAAAAAGGATGTGCTTTCAGGAAATAAATACTCAGCATACTAACCCCCAATCGAAAATATCCCTGCATTATTGATGAGCACATGTAAAGGTCCTGAACGTGCATTCCATGTCTCAGCAAATCTCAAAACAGACTCCAAGGAGAGCAGATCAAGTTCCATCACCTTGCAAATCACAATATGAGTAAGTCTACTGTTGTGCAAGTAAAAATTGACTCATGGGGCAGGCGGGACAGGGGAATGTGCTGTAAAAGGTGTGATTATGCAAGAGGATAGGCACACGTATTGCCCCTCGCACGGATTGAGGCAAGGCTTAGGCGCACAAGACGTGTGATTTTTGTTTTTGTTTGCTTCAATTTGGTGATTTACGCTGGAGTTGATCTTAGTTACTTCTAAAGATTTTGAGATGCACAATGCACACTATAATAAAGCTTTCATAGGATAAAAGCGGCTTCTCCAACACTTGGAACTAGCAAAGGAAATAGTACAACCCACCAATACACTCCGTCTGACATTACCCAAGCACCAATTGGAAGATGCTGTGCAGTCCTTTGTTGCTGATTGGAAGATTCCGGCAAGGATTTTGAGGCTAGTCTACTCACTTTCTCTTTTTTACTTTCTTCTTCTCCTCCTCTTCTTCTTCTACCAAATGTTCAGCCAATGGAAATCTTCTGTTTTTCTTTTACTTTTCATTATGATTCTTTCTATTTCTCCTTATCTTTGTTCTCCTTCTTTTCCAGTTTTTATATATTGTCTAGATGCTGAAGTTGGGCCATCACAATTCTGTTTTTCTTGTGTCTTCTATGTCATCTTTCCCTTTCTCATTTTCGTTACCCTTCTTTCTTCTTTTTTGGTTTTTATTGAGTGTCCATAGTCCCAAATGCCCATGTTGGACCAGTCTATTTTGTTTCTGATTTCTTCTCTCTCCTTCTCTTTCTTTCTTCATTTCTTCTTTGGGTTCTTATGAACTGGTGGTCTGAAAGGAGACACCTAAGTTAGGCTATTCTTTTTTTCTGAATTTTTTATTTGTGTACTTAACTTGTTTGTGTGTTTTTCTTAATTGTTTAAGTGCTTACTAAGAATTTCTCTCAATTGACTAATTACTTAATTTGAAATTGCTTACCTAATTCAATAGGTACATCAGAAGTAGATGTCAGTTGAAGGTCATAAAAAAGATATGGCATAGTTGTATGCACACTTATTGGTTGTGACTTGTGAATTCTTAGGATCTTATATAATGGATTTCATATTTCAGTAATCACATTACTCATTGCAAAATTATTAATGGTGAATTATTTACATGGTATCTACAATTTCTGCCTTACTTCAATAAGCTCTCACCTCGTCACGCCTAGACACCCTACAGATCTTGGAACTTTAATGCGCCTTGCCCTTTAAATAACAATGGTGCATATGGCAACCATCCAACTAAACAAAGCTTCAACAAAGAAGCCATTTGCTAACAACTAATCTGAATGTCATGGGTATGTTAATTTCCACAGTTGATCAGAAAGATAAATCCCTTGAGATGTGGTCATTGATCCTATCACCTCAATATTTAGAGGAAGGCCCTGTCCACACCATTCATCCTGCCATTTCCTGATTAATTCATGAGCAGCCTTGGTGTTCCTAACTGCCATCACCACGTGTGCCCCTGCTTCTGCCAATTGCCTGTTTGAAAAGGGAAACCACAGCTATGATCCTCGACACACAATAATACATGTAAAACTTACATAGTATGCACTACAGCAATTCAAATTTTTCCACACAATGTCCACCAATATGACATTGATAATATCGGTATGATACGTGACACACATGTTGGAAAAAACAAGAGATTTTGCCTCTCCATTTGCATCACAATACATGTCCTAGAATCTCAGGAATAGGAACTTAGCATACATGCACCGAAATTTGTTTGGATTGCAACATATATAGTCCACAAATATAATAAAGGTTTCACAAACATAATTCTGTTCTACGCAGTCACTTTTGGAGGTGGAAGGGTGGTATACCAAAAAATTTGAGGATAGCACTTATTGGATATCATAAATTGTCAAATTTTGAAAAGGTACAACGAAACAGAGATTGAAGAATGAATATGGAGAGAGAGAGAGAGTAAATTTTATTTGACCAAGAATTGTAAATTGTTTTGCACTTAGTAGTTGGATTCTAAATTTTCCTATTTATACAATGCATATCATTGAACAGTCTGTTAGTCTCCGCTTGAACTAACTAATGTGACTAACTAACTAGCTAAGTGAGAGCATCTCCAATAGTGCTCTCTATTTTCAAAAGCAGTTTTTTAAAGATAACAAGTATCTTTGATGAAAAGTTAAAATAGAGAGTAATTTTTTTTTTTTAACAACTCCAATAGATGTCTCTGTTTTATTAGAAATAGTCTTTATAATGAATAACATTTAATGCACACTTGTCATTTTTCCATTCATTAATTATAGAGTAAGGAGTGAGGTTGACCCTCCAAATATAGAGAGCCAAATAGAATTCTCTATTTTAGCTAGTCCAAATAGAGATCCTATTGAAGATTAATCTTTTAAGGATTTACTCTCTAAAATAGAGAATTGAGTGAGAATAGAGAATCTATAGGAGATGCTCCAATGAATGAGATGATATTACAAAATACAACTGTCCTTAATCGGGAGGTGTCTACTGTTACCAGAATATGGTATAAAGCATGTCAAGAAACCTGTTGTGTTAAGATGCCCCCTCAGACACCATCAATTTGTCCCGTTGTCTGATGTGGTTGGGCCCTTCTTAAAACATCAGCTATTTGATCTTCAGAGGATATACAGTGAACATAGAGCTCTTTTTGAATAACTCTTTCATAAACATGGTAGTCAATCTCTACATGTTTAGTGTGCACATCGAACAGAGGATTGGAAGGAAGGGTCGAAGCAAAAACATCGCACCAACTGCGAAAAGGCTAAGATAAAGATGCATAAATCACAAGGATCATCCGCAACCACGCAAGCTCAACTGTAGTGTTATTGTGATGGCCAATGCCCTATATTCTACCTCCCTTGAAGACCTTACAAGTTACAATAGTAGGTTGCTTTGTGGCATCCCAATGAATGGGGATAAAAACTAGAAAACAATGAATCCAATTGTAAAACGTTTGTTAATAGAGTCACCAGCCGAGTCTGCATCAACATAAGCAGAGTGACATGCTAGTGTATGAGATGCCAAAGGAAGAAGTTGCCCTTAATTTATCGAAGGATTCATTTTACTACTCCAATCATTAGAGTGGTGCAAAAATTGACAGACATGTTAACATGAAATGCAATGTTTGGCCTTGTGAAGGCAAGAGGTTTAAGGGCACCTACAAATCTTTGGTGTTTTGTGGTGTTAAGTTTAGGGTAGAGCCAGCCTAAACACAATATGGGAGAGGCAAAGAGAGGTTTAACTTACACTATCTTTCACTATCAACTTGTATTTATAGTTACTGAAAAATATGTAAAAGACAAGTATACCCTCTGTGTGGAATACATATTAGAATAAGTGTAAACCCTAATAATATTATAGTAATACTTTCAACACTCTCCCTCAAACTAGACTATATATATATATATCATATAATCCAAGCTTTCAACAGATAGTTGTAAGGCGAGTACGACTCAATGCTTTGGTGAATATGTCAGCAAGTTCAATCTCAGATTTCATAAATGGAGTTGCAATATCTCCATTTAGTATCTTGTCTAGAATAAAGTGACAATTAACTTCAATATGTTTAGTCCTCTCATAAAACACTAAATTGACAGCAATATGAAGAGTTGTCTAATTATCATAGAACAACTACAAAAGAAGTTGAACTAAAAAGCCAATTTCCCGAAGAAAGTCTAGTAACCATGTCACCTCACTCGTTATATGTGTCATCTCTCTATACTCGGCCTCAACACTGAATCGTGCCACCACTGTTTGTTTCTTACTTTTGTATGAAACGACGTTATCTCCTAAGAAAGTATAATAACCAGTGATTGATCTTCGATCAAAGGGAGAACTAGCCCAATCAGCATCTAAAAAACCTTTCACTCTCAGATGTCCATTAGCTTAATATAAAAATCCAAGACAAGGAGCCCATTTGAGGTATCGAAGTATACGAATGATTGAATCCTAATGTGGTACTCTAGGGCATCTCATAAACTGACTACATTGGTAATATCTGGTCAAGTAATAATCAGATAATTAAGCTTCCCAACTACTCTGCGATATTGACTTGGATTCTCAAATGATGTACCATCATCCATCAACAACTTCTGATTCGAATCCATAGGAATATCAATTAGTCTGCCACCCAGCAGACTTGTTTCTTCTAATATGTCAAGTACATATTTTAGTTGAGACAGACAAATACCCTACTTACATCTTGGAACTTCAATCCAAGAAGTACCAGAGGTTTAATAGATCCTTAGTATAAAATCTGTCTTGCAAGAAGGCTTTTAACTTGGTAATACCCTCAGAATCATTACCAATAATTATAATATGATCACCATAAACAACCAATAGAATGTACCCCACATCTGTCTGTCTGTAAAAGACAGAGTGATCTGTCTGACATCGAAGAAGACTAAACTCTAATATTGTATCTGAAAACTTACCAAACCATACACTTAGTGACTGCTTCAAACTATACAAAGATTTATTAAGCCGACAAACACTCTTACAAGAACTTGACGCTTCAAATTCTAGAGAGAAGGATAACCAAGACAACAATGCCACTGAAAGGGAGATGACAAGGTCTGAAGGGCCCGAGGAGGTGGATCAGGGTCAAAGTAATAGAGACTACCAGCTTTTTTCCCCGTACCAATCTTCGTCTTCGTCTGGAATTCTTAAAATACATAATAAGAGGGATAAAAGGTTACTGAACAATTAAGAAAGCGGATAATCTTACTAATGAAAAGTAAGCTAAAAGGTAATTGGGGAACAAATAAAACGAATGACAAGGATATATCAGGACTCGAGTGAGTAGTCCCCAAACTTAAAATTTTAGAAGAAGTACCATTAGCAAGAATAACATTGTGCGGGGAAGTAATAGACTAATAAGTAGAAAAGGTATCAAACAAACCAGTTATCCGGTTAGAAATGTCGTAGGCTATGATCTAGGAACTGCGAGTGGAGGACAGTAAACAAGTACAAGTGGTACTTGACTAGACAAAAATAGCAGTGGAAGAAGATGGAACAGCCTACTGCTAAGGCAAGAGCTAAGCATACTCCTCTCGTGTAAGAGTAACTGACCCAGCGTTTGGTAGAGCCGACCAAGTTATAGAAATGGGTAAAGAGAGAGAGTCATCCTGATAGAAGACCTGATTAGCAATACCCAAAGGCTTGCTATGTAAATCCCGATAATAATCAACAATATGGCCTCCAATACCACAATGAGTGCATAAATGAGAACCAGTTCGCCCTCCGTGACCTCCAGCACGGCCTCCCCAACCCCCGTGATTGCCACGGCCACCTCGAGGACTATCACTGTGGCCATTAAGAACACTAAAAGCTAAGAGGTCAATGGGCAAACCATAATCAATGCCTGAAGAACCAGTAGACAAGATAACACGCTGTAAACGGGAGAAAACTTCAAGGAGAGATGAAAGACTAAAGCCACTTAAAATCTAAGAGCGAATATGCTCATATTTAGGTTTTAAACCCATCAGAAAACAAACAACATTCAAATCCTCAGGTTGTTTCTGTCAAACTACTACATCAGGAATGAACGGGTGGTAGATCTTCAATTCCTCACAAATTCTCTGAACGTGAGAATAATAATCCTCAAGAATTAAAATACCCTACTCCAGGTGGAAAAAAGGGTTTGAGTTTGCCCCCAAACCCATTATTCGGCCCAAGAGCCCGCTCACCCTTCCTTTTAAAAAAAATTATATTTTTAGGCCATTAAATTTAAAACTTCCGATATTGAAATTTGAAATTTTAAAAATTTAGATACTATAAATAATGTATTATTTTTTTTTATTTATTAAGCATAAAAGTTTAAAGGGTAAGGTAATGTAAATAATAGATAAGTGAGTAGGCGTCAACCTAGTTGGAATATGTTCATTCTATTAGGTGTAGTTCATTCCCTAATCAAAAATAAATTATTTATTATTTTATTTTTATCCATTTTGACTCTACTTTTAATTCAAAAATATAATTTACACAAATATTAAGTTACAAAAAATATTCATTATTTTTAAATGAAATTGTATATAAAAAATTCTGTCCACCACAGGCCTGCCCAATAAGCTCGCGGGTTGGGCTACAGGTAACTTACCTCTATCCGAAGCCCAGTCCGGCCCACCCGATAACTCACTTGGGTAAGGACTTAGGCCTACACTACTCAGCCCGACCCAAAAAAAATTTTGCAGGCCTAGCCCGACCCATGGCCACCCCTACGGATACCTATAAGGGGTATATAGGGTTCACCCTCCAAAGTATGTTACATTTGGTAAGGAACAATTAGTTTGTAATTTGAAGAAAATACTATATGGTCTAAAATAGTCACCACATGCTTAGTTTTATAAGTTAAGCACTATGGTACTCTACTTCAGACCACTAATTTTTTATTTGTCGTTCTATTACATATTCAATAATTTTGATTGTGTATATAGATGATATTATTATTAGTGATGATGACTCGAATAGTATTGTTAATTTTAAACTTCATTTAGGGAATCAGTTTCATACCAAAGATATAAGTCTTCATCGGTGTTTTCTTAGAATTGAAGTTGCTCAGTTAAAGGAAGATATCAGTTTATACCAATAGAAGTATGTATTGTATTTACTGGCTGAAACATTTATTCTTGGTGAGCGTTCTATTGGTACTCCCATGAACTCTTCAGTTAAGTGAGATGATGGGATGAAGAAGTTTTTGATGACGTAGGGCACTATCGAAAGTTGATTGGTAAGCTAATATATCTTACTGTTACGCTGACCTGATATTACATTTATTTTTGGTGTCATTAGTCAACTTAACCACTTTTTCAATTTAAATTTCCTTTAATGCATTCATAGTCCGAAGCATTCTAATGTTGTTAGAAAACTTGTTTTCTCCAATCTCAGTAGGATTACTATTTACGTCATCTCCTAAGCTTCATATATGTTCTCATCCACAAGACAAATTGCAACAATACAAGTACATTATGCAATATAGTACGCATGGTGCAGAAGTTTTCTTGTTTCTCTCCTCCTGTTTATTCTTTGGGTAAAGTGTTTGAGAGTAATTCCACATATTCCCCCATTAATCATTGGTGCACAAAAAATTACAATATAAAGCTTAAGTCTTCTATGATTGTAGAAGCTATGTTAAAAAACCAACGAGATATTTAAATTTTTATATTATCAAAGTCGACAATTCATTTGGCTTTATAGGTACTAACAATTCACTACGTTCGTTGCACGTGAATAATTTTCATACATAAAAAATTAATAAAAAGTATTAGGTATATATGTGCCTAAATTAAATATCATCTCAAATTTACTAAATTTATTTTTTTATCGCTCAAAATGTAGTATAGAATTATGAAGACTTTGTCTATCCCAACAATTGATTGGTCTAACTATAAGAAAAATAATAAATAATAATTAAAGTTCTATTTTTTAGAATTATGGGATTGAGAATATTTTTTAGTGATGTTTGAAAAATTAAATTTTTTCAAATTCATTTGATTAGGATTCTACTTATATTTCGTTGATTAAAATAAAAATAATTATTAATATCCTAATCATATTAGAATCTTACTATAATTAAGAATTAGTTAGGTTAATTGGGATAAAAATATATTTTTGGCTATAATAATGCATATTATTTAAGGGTAATATATTTAATTTAAAAATTTTATAAATATTGATATTTATACATAGAGAATAGATAATTAGAACAAATGTTAGAGAATAATTTGAAGATTTAAATACATAAAGATATGACGGTAATTTAGATATTTAACTATGCATGGATAGAATAACTTTTATAATTTTTTCGTATGGGTAAAATAGTAAATCAAAAAAAATTCATGATAAAGGTAATTTTATTAGTAGTTTAGATAGATAGATAGGTATAGCTATAGATATGACAAGCCTATAGGGAGAATATAAGCAAACTAAACAATCATGTATCTCCAAATACAATGGACCACCAATAGCACTCAATAATCAACTCAAACTCTAATTTAGGTACCCATTTCAAAATGACTGAAGAAATCATCACGGAGAGCTTACTCGCAGTGCTGTATCAGTGTGATCCAATAATAAAAAGTTAGAACCCATTCAAACATTATTTCAAATCGAGCACAATACAAAGATGTACCTTTAAAAAAACAAAAAACGGGTGATATTAGTAATAAAAGAATTGGGAAAACCTGGCGATTTCGCGGCCAATGCCACTGGTGGATCCGGTAATGATGCAGGTGATATCGTTGAGCGGGGACAGTGGCATTGGATTCTGCAAGTGGCTGGCCATTATCCTCTGAAAAAGCATTTCGTATGCCAAGTAGAACCACCCTCTCAGCCATTCCATCCATCCCAATCCCTGTTTCATCTGCCCACTCTCCCTCTCCCTTTCCCTTTCCCTCTCAGACGACGATGATTGCGATACCATTCCCTCCGTTTTCCCTCGATTAGTTACTTCACACGGTGTTCTGTGACTCCTGTCCTGTCCCCCTATTTGTTTCTCCTTCTCAAAGTACAGAAGATCTGTTTTTTTTTTCTCTCAAAATTTCCCTGAATCAGCTCGAGTATTCTTGTGTCCTGTTTCGTAGGTTAGTTTTGGTGGAATTTAGAGGGTTAATTTTGTAAAAATAGTCCGATGTGTCTTTTAGACTCGTGTTTGCATTCAAAATTTGAGGTCCAAATTCCAGTCTACCAGAAACAGTAAACTAAAGCCCACGAATATGGATTTGATAAAATTTAGGGGTGAATTTCGGAGTAAATTTTAAAAGTGAAAGATTTGATTCATAGATTTAAAAATTATTTTATTTTAAATTGTATTATCCTATTTATTTAATAATAGATATTTTAGTCAATTTTGTAGTAAGAAATAATATTGTTTATATATGATTTGACATGAATTTATGAGCTCTACATAAATTTATATCATTTACCAAACATGAAATTGAATAAGATAAATTATTTCATTTGATGTACAAAATCTTGGGTTTGAATTTAGAAGGGTTTGTTAAATGCAATTCAATCCAACCTATAAGACCATCTAAACAGCCCTTTAAGGCTGTTCAATTCAATTCATAGTTTTAAAACCCGGAAATGACATCAATTCAGAAGAGAGACCGGTTCAATGGGTTATTGGTTCAACCGTTAGGTCGATAATATAATAAAAAAAATTAAAAAAATTATTAATGATAAAAAATAAATAAAAAATTATAACAATTATGAAAATAGCATGCACATATGCAGAATATGACTAATCTATACTATTTCTAATCTTAAAGAAAAAAATTTTAATTTTCTTATTTGCCCTTTAGTAATTTTATAATGGATAACATGTCATATTATGTTACATTAACACTTACACTCTTCAAATTTTAGAAGTAAAGACTCTTGACTTTCAATTTTAGTTATTCTCTGTCATAAAATTCATTTCATCCTTAATTTAATAACAAGAAAAACTTATGCAACTTTTAAAATTCTAAAAATAAATATTCAATTTATCTGTGTAAATTATAAATTTGATGTACACTGAATATTTATGAGTAAAGACAATACTATCTACAGTTTTGACAACTATATACTATTTATTGATCTTACTTATGTCATACTAACATATTTCTATATTTTCCAATTTACACCAAATAGAAACGGTTCAAGTGTTTGCACTCAAACCTGTTTTCTTCATAAATTTAACTACATCTCATATGCTAGAAAAAACAATGAATGGTAAAGTTATTAGTAATTATTGTCCTTACGGTGGTGGTGGTGAGACTATATATACTGGACGATTACTTCATGGAATGTATAAAGTCGTAATATCCAGCTCTCTTGTTTTGTAATTACGTACTCAGCATTGGATATAGTAATTTTGTCCGTTTTACATATCAAAAAGAAAAAAAAAATTATTTGCTTCGTTATGTAAGTATTGTTATCTTAATCTAATCACTTTCACCATCAATTATTATATTTCCTCTCTCTTGATTTATTGTTTACGTGATCCATAATATTGATTAAATTTTTTGTTGCACAGCAAGAGGCAACATTGAGTGGCCCTTTGAAAGGTTATTGAAGTTGATTCTTTCACCAATTACTCCTATATATCCATCTGATGTCAACAATATCAAGGCCTATACTCTCTCTTCTCATTCATCTTTTTTTTTTTAATGTTTTTATCCTTGTTACTAACATTTTATGTCAAATTAGTTCTAGCTGGGACCTTGGGTTTGATCATCTCAACTTTCTCTTCAACCAATAATGCTTTTAGGTTTTACAAGAAAAAAATAAAAAAAAAATGCTCCCAGAAAGAAAGAATAATACCATTGGAAGATAAAACAGTATCATGTGGAGTTGAAGCTACCTTCCTTTTATAATCACCATGTATATTGTATCCCTTCATGTTATTTGACATAATTTTGTAAGCAATTTTTTTAAGAGACAATATGTATATTGTAGCATTTTTTTTAAGTTTGAACTTGTTTAATAAATTTGTTGTATTTTTTGGATAAGTAAAGGATGGTCAAATTTATTGAACTTAAATAATTGTATTAATCTGAAACTAACAATAAAGTTTAAAATATACCAAGACATGCACATGAGACATGCAATGTCAAAGAGTCACCCAAAACAAGTTCCCAAAGGGATTGTTTGTGTTCGTAATTTTGGTTTTGAATTTTTCTGGGTTATATGAAAATTTTGATTATAAATTGGCTCTTACTATGTAAGTATACACCGAACGAGATCATGCAATTGACTTTTTTGTGGAATTACATTTGATTGAAAAGTTTTATTTGGTACAAAGAACCGCAATGAAAAAGCTCAAAGTTAAAAGAGGGTAAATCTAAGTTTAAATAAGGACAAACTCAAATTTAAAGAAAGATAGAATATCACATGTGGATCTTTAAAAGAGGGTAAAACTAGACCATTCAAAGTTTGAGTGTCCCTTGATTTAGGTAAAAATTTGAGTTTCTCTTGATTCATTATTTTTCTTCTTTGATTGAACAATGCGCACAAGTATGAATGGAAGGGGTTCAAGGTGTTAATAATGTGCATGAATTAGCTTCTTTAAGCAAAAAAAAATAATAGTCCACTATAAAAAAAATAGTATAACTAAGAAAATAATGATAGTCATTTTAAATTAGAGTAATGCTATGTGTACTAAATTTGTACACCAAACCTGCACCAAATTACTTGTAGTTGTTAGATCAGTGGATCCTATCACCGATCTAACAACTATAGTTGATTTGGTGCAAATTTTGGTACATAAATTTGGTGCACATAGAGTTATCCATTTTATAAATCCTTTTTTATTTTATTACAATCTTCACCAATATCATAAAATCAATAATTTATCTCTTCATTTTTTTATTCTTGATATTCATTGGTTTATGATAAAGTAGGTTTGATAGTAAACTTGGCAAATAAGTCCAATACTAGGTTTTCTTTTGACTATGACCCAAAAAAATTTGACAAATAAGGAACTATATGAAAGAATTCAAATAATTTTGCATTTGAAAATTTAAAGGTGTTTAGGATACTCACTCCAAATTCTTTGGGGATTTAACGTTTAGACCTAAAGTATCTTTTTTTGTTTAACTGTCCATTAGTTAGGCACCTGATATCCATTATCTACCTGATATCCATTATCTACATTACAATCTGTTCATGTTATATTCATTGTCTCTATTGATTTTCTGATTTGTTTTGTTAATGTTGTTGAATAATTTTTCCCCCAATTACCCTACTTTTTTCAAATTGTTTTACGTTTTATGTGATCACTATAATAATGTTATAAGACTCTTGCCATTTTACTTTGATTGTTGCATAATTTGTTCACATTTTTTTTGCTTAAAATGCATGGCTTATTAACAAATGAGGTCAAGTAATACAACCAAACAAACGAGCTTTGCCACAAAACACTTCTAAATTCCATTCAATCGAAATATAATAATTATATGCATTGGTATTAACTAATCTCATCTTTAATCTTAATTGCATGCATGCAGTTGCCTTTGCCTTGTAACAGGCTCTTGGTCTTTTAAAAAAAATACTTAGAGAACAAGAAAATAGTTTTCAAGAGGATAAAAAAAAAATTAAAAAGGAAAAAATACAAAATATCTTTTATTTGTTACCTATAATTGGGTTTCAAAAGAAAAATATTAAACAAATTTTTAATAAAATTGTCCACGTATAGAGCACGTGTGCAAGAACAAGTTAGTATGAAAACTATAACTAATTATTAAGAATATCACAAAACAGACAACTAAATCTATGCTAACTAATACACAAACACAATATCTTAAATTCCTAATAAAACAAACTCAAACAACACTAACAATCTTAGAATTTGTATCCAGTATACCTCTAAATAAATGACCGAAAATGCCAAAGAGGGGAAGTATTTTGAAGCAAAAGCCTAACTTTACTTTGATTGAAGCCAACAGTTGAGATCGATAGAGTTTGATCAAGATTCAACAATGGTTGCTTGATGGGAGACTGAGAGACCAGATTTGAAGTCAAATTCGAAGTAATCGAAGACGAATAGAGAAGAAAGAAAGAGAGAGAGAGAGAGAGAGAAGTGGTAGAACGGTAGTAGTTTTATGAGTTCTTTTTATGGCTTGGTGTTATCTCCTTAGCCCCTATGAAAATTGGAGTGGTGGTTTCGGTGTTCTAGTGGTGATAAATCTGGGTTGATGGTTGTTGTGTGTTTGGTGATCGGTGGTGGCACTGGCGGAGATGTGTTATCCTTTAATCCATATGGATGGATGGTGGCGATTATGTTGCTAGGAGCTTGAGAGACTAGATTCGAAGTTGTCAAAGACAAATTGTAGAGAAAGAGAGATGGCTGAGGCTGAGAAATCTATTGAATAGATACGGTCGAATGGTCTATTAGGGAAAAAATGCGCAAAATGTTTTAATTTATAGGTCTTTTTTGACCTGTCCGGTTTGAACGGTTAAGTCAAAACCAGCCTGGTTTGATTAGTCGACTTGATTAGGGAATCGGCCCAATTTAGTGCCCGAGTCAATCCGTTGGGCCAGGCCGAATTTCAAAATACTGGTTCAATTGTCCATGGTTCCTGTTTGGTGTGGGCACCCGTTATCTGATTCAACTAGAAAATCTATTGCCCCCACCCTAACCAAATACCTGTTGCATGGGCAACAACACAACTCCTAACTTGTGATTTGGCTTGAGCCTAGTCCTCCTATTCGCTCACTAAAGCTCACTAAAAATATAGCATACAAAGCCTGCATGAGCTAAGTGTTTAATTAGGATTGAGTCAGTCAAAGCCCCATTTAGTTTTATTTACATATTAATTTATCAATTACCTTGAATTATGTGCATATAACTTAATTAATAATTAAGTTAGGATATATGTGATGGAAACTTGAGTTTGTTTAAATATTTTAGTCTGTTATAGAATTTTAGACTGTACTTCA